GGGAGAGGCTCCAACGCGATATATACCACCCACGAAGAACGCTCCTCTGTATTTGACTCTCCACGCCCGTATATAACTCGGCCGACGCCCTGGGGATGCGTCCCATCGACTGACGGAAACACAATTGTTTGATTCGTCGAGCAACAAGTGGTAGTCGAGGGGTAGAGGGAGATAGGAAAATCCTCGGAGAGATTTCGATGCCTCGATAGCGGAGCCAACATCGGATGACTCTGCCGCATTTTCTAAACGTCCGATCCGCAACACCCCTTATAAAGGTACATTATCGGTGAAACTTTTTTGTCTCCGGTTGCTTATTGCGACTTGTTTTGCGCATTCTCGTCTCCGTCGTCTCTCGAGACGACGACGACACGTCACGTACTCGCGAGAAATGCAAAACCGGCTTAGGCGACACAACTCGGAGCTGGACAGATAATCGGAAAAGAGAGGATATATGGCTAGAGAAAAGAGAAGACGACTGAGAACGGAAGAGAGGGACTCATAAGCATTGCTACAAAAGCGTTGAAGCCGAGCAGCAACCCTTCCATTGCGGCAACTCTCTCGACAGTTAACTTCGCTAAGAACGGATCGTAAATTACGCCAATATTTCCGCGAAATCCTAACAAGATTATAAACCAGATTGTAGCGGGGTCTATGTGGCCACCCCTTCTCTTCCATCCCCTCGTGTCCGGGACCTTTCTTAATCTTTGAGCCTCTCGACCGAAGAGCCGGAGAGTGAGAAGTCGAGTGATGCGAAGAAAAAAGAATAAGAGAGGGAGAAAGGGCGAAAGGGTGCGGAGGGAGGAGATCTATTTATAATGCGTTTGCGTCTTTGCAGGGGCCCAGCCGGTGAAGGCAGTAAATGTCACGTGTATTTCATATGAAACTCCACCCCCTCCCAGCTATTCCTCGCAATGCCAATCTCTTTTGCCGGTCTGATAATGTTAGGCGCTAACAAAGTTAACTCTTCTTTCTTTTCTCTTCGCCCGGGTTCAAGTGCTTCGTTTCTCGATCGTGGTTCTCTCGTCGAGGTCGAAAATTAGGTGCGGAGCTGTCGGATCGGATTGTCATTACTCGATCACTCGAGGTGTCGGCTCGTAGACGCGACTCGCGATATTTTACGCGGTAGCATGAACCGCAAAACCGCAAATTAGCTCGTAAACCACGCGCTGGAAAGTGTAACATATTACGTGTGTCGTGCGTCGATTCTCAAAAATTGACAAAAGTTTATTTCGGTTGCTCCTTGGAATTCTTCTCCCGTCGACTCGTTCCTTCGATTCTTCTCGACGAAGATTCGATGTCGGCGTGTCGTTTGATGCGAAGGAAAACCTCGTCGGACACCCTTATTTATTTTGGCGAGAAACAGTAATATCTCTCTCTCTCTCTCTCGCAGAGATATATTCTATTCGTATTCGATAGATTCCGGAGCCGTCACGCGAGATTCCGAGAAAAGCCGTTTCGCGGGTCTCTTTAAAGCACAGTCGACGCATGTGTATATACATATGCGCCTGCCTGTGTATGTATGTGTTAATAAAGGCCTGCGACTTAACCGATCGTTATTAGATCGGGCACTCCCTCTGGATCCCTATTCGCTCTCATCCTCGCAATAACCCATAAAATGCAACATTTTGTTTCGTATGCCAATTATCCCCTCTACATCTATATTGCGAGGAAGTACCATATGCTAAGAATATGATGTCCGATGCTCTTAATGTCGTCCTCTTCTTCGGGAAAATCTTGTACGACGGTGATGATTTAAAAAAAAAAAAAGATAATTATTTGATCTTACATCTCTATGCAACTTCATCTTGTTATTTCCCGGGAAGCTAGAAGGGATGATTTTTATCATAAAATGCATAGCGACGAATGGCTACTTTGACTCATTGAAGGTAGAGAGAGATGGCTATCGCGCGATACTATGCTGCTACTACTACACTGAAAAAAAATGTTGTTGGATTAACAAAAATTCTGTTCGAAAATGAACGAAACGAAATTCTGGTTGAATCTACCAGAATTCCTTTTAATACAACAAATATCTTGTTTGCACTAACAAACTGATTTGTTGTACAAACAAGATGCTTGCTACATTAAAAGGAATTCTGGTAGATTCAACTAGTAATTCCGTTTCGTCCATTTTCGAACAGAATTTTTGTTGATCCAACAAAATTTTTTTTCCAGTGTACTACTACTACTACTACTACTACTACTACTACTATTATTACTACTACTACCACTACTACTACTACTACTACTACTACTTGAAGAGACAAGCAGCGGCGTAGCGCGGCACAACGATGGCCGTTATAAAAATAACTGCTGATTGGACGCCCTACCGAGAAAAGTCGTAATCGCATCTTGAAATGTTCTTTCTCTCCCTTTCCCTCTTCTCTCTCTCATTCTGTTCGTTCTTTCTTCCTTTCTCTCATTTCTCTTTTCCTTTCCCTCTCATCGTTTCATCTTCCTCTCAGCAGTCACTCCCGCTATTTTACACGGCGTCTCTCCCTCAATTTCGTTAAGGAGGGTGCAGTAAATTCATATAAATTCCGCAAATTCTCTTTTTGCTCGTTTATTAGGAAATGATGTCCTTTATTTTTCGAAAAAAATGTAATACGCGCATTTGATCAGAACCAACGAGGTCTTTCCACTTTATATCGTTGCACGCGAAACGCATCGCGTCTCTGCATTCACCGCATAAGGGATGAGAGAAAGAACGAAGACGGTCGCCATTTTGCAGCTTTTATCGCCGCGCCCTACATAGGAGCATTAAACGCGGGTTGCCGGGTTGCGCGTATATCAACAATAATTGCAGGGCCAATAATAAACCCGAAGGGAGCGCGCTCTCGATAGCCCGAAATTGCTGGTTCCCCTACCCTGGAGCCGCGCGGTTTTATTGCCTCCTCTCACGTGTTGGTCAGGAATGGCGAACGGAGAAGCCCCCCTTCGTCGTCCTCGATGGCGGATAAACGATCCTGCGATACGGCGCAGCCCTTCTCATCCCTTTTTTTATTGTCCGCGTATTCCCGTATATATCCGCGTGTGTATATATATATTTTTGTACAACGTCGTGTTCGGAATCGTTCGCGAGCTCGTAAAGAGCCGCAAAAGCGCGGGCTCCGCACGCGCGAAAGTCGCGAGTGCCCTTGTTAATGCCCCGTTAACTCGACCAGACCTCTGGACAAACTCGTAAAGTTCACCGACTCTGGTGGAAAGCGACCCGAGAGAGAGGAAAGTCGATGAGATGTTAAAAAGATGAAATATTGGGGAGAAAAGGAGATTGTTATTCATATCTTTATATTCTCGCGACGAGACAAATTGCCCTCGTTTAAAATGTCGTGATAATCGTTAGACCTCCCAGATCGTCGTTCTTGACGTGCGAAATGATTTTCGATCGTTTCTAGGCACGCGTCGCTCTTGCGAATATTTATGCGCGACTCTAAACCTCAGATTACGCCAACTCGTAAAAGCCCGTTTACGTTTACGTATACTTTAAAGCGAGTACTGCTGCTCTTGTTAACACCCCGGTAACTCGTATAGCTCGGGCAACCTCGTAAAATTCGATGGTCCCGACTACCACGGTAGGCATTTGTACGCACATTAACGAATTAGCCGAAGAATCCTTCCCGCATCTATGCATATTAACAAAAATTCTGTTCGAAAATGGACGAAACGAAATTCTGGTTGAATCTACCAGAATTCCTTTTAATACAACAAATATCTTGTTTGCACTAACAAACTGATTTGTTGTACAAACAAGATGCTTGTTACATTAAAAGGAATTCTGGTAGATTCTTGTTGTATTTAAAAGGAATTCTGGTAGATTCAACTAGTAATTCCGTTTCGTCCATTTTCGAACAGAATTTTTGTTAATCCAACAAAATTTTTTTTTCCAGTGTATAACAAAGGGATATTTCGTTTTTATGAGAAAAATTTTGCACGCTTCGCAGATTAAAATCACCATATTATATTCCATGATTCGACGAATTTTTTTAACTTTTTTACATTTTCCCACGATTCACTTTCGTCCTTATTCAGATGAATCTAAACCGGCATTTATCTTGGTCTTTGATAGATGAATGCCGGTTTATAATCATCTGAAAAAGACGAAAATGGGCTGTCAAAAGCCTTTTTTAAAAAAAATGACAAAGATATCCTAACTGTCGGATAACTTTAACAATAAGGGTTCAAGGGTATTCATAAATGAAGGGATAGGTTTTTCTTTAAAATTTTGCACGACATGACATTGCGTTCCTATTATAAGTAAATAGGAAAAGCAAAGATACCGACTTTCTGCCAGATAATTGTCGATAAAATATGTGATGGCTTTTGCATGCGATTCGATAAGGCGAGAGCTCGTAAAGAAACACGTGGGCTATTCTCGCCTGCACCGAATAATAATATAATCTTTAATGCAATTGCGATAATACGATAGTGTCTTCCGATGCCTCGTCGGATTTTCCACTTGGCGCATTTCTCATTCTCCTACTCCCCTTAATTACTCTCTTTCTCTTTATTTGTTGTGCTCCCTAAGGAAGATCGTAAAAGACTACTTGCGTGATCGTTGCGAATTCATTATTGCTCTTGTTAACGCCCCGCGTCTGGATAAACCTCATAAAGTTCAGCAGTTTTACGCTCGTCGTACCTTAAGATGCGATCGATCACGCAATGAATAAATAAGAGGTGTTACTATACTGTTTTGTCTCATTTACGATCTGTTGTTTGATCGATTTTGCAGAAATTCGAGTCAAGATAAATATTAATTACTATTTCATATAAGAATAAATTATACAGAGAGAGATTAAAATAATATATACACCAAGGCAACGCATTACTCATTATCGCATCATCAGGAAAAAGTGGAATGCGCAGGAAAATAAAATAAAAATAATTCTGTATTTCGCGCGTTATATCGTTCATTCCTTCGTTGAAATCTCCAAAGTAGAGAATAATGTTGTTTCGATGTTATAAATAAAGACGCAAGAAATAACTGAAATCATTGTTCACAGGGTCACCGATTAACCGTCTACCGATCATGGCTAAATCTGTACTGGATCTTTACGAACTTTATAAATTAGTGGTGATACGCGGTGGCCTGGTCGAAGTGATCAACAAGAAGCTGTGGCAGGAGATTATCAAAGGTCTCCGGTTGCCTGCGAGCATCACTTCCGCCGCCTTTACTCTACGCACGCAGTAAGTAGACCGTGAAGTTACTCACCCCTCGGTTTATATTCATCAAATTCGCATGCAATTTAAGTCTTAGAGGACTCATCCGAGCGTGAAATCTACGACGATAAGATAAACGCGCGTTTTTGTTCCTATTTTTCTCTTTCAACTCGACAGATATCTCCGGTGTAATTAATATCGCGTGAGTCGAACGATGTCGTTAAAGTCCGTCACTTATATAGCTGGTAATCGATGTTGAATGCATTAATTAACAAGATAATTCAATCTAGTGGATCTTGAAGAAAAGGAGCGGAAGGGGAGAGGGTTAAGATATCGCGAGCGTGTTATTATTGTCGGTGATGAGATAAAACAACGTGGATGACGAGTTGGACGAGGAGGCGTGACGTACAGGTGCATCATCTTAGGCAAAGACGACGCGATCCTTCACGCGAGAGGGAGCGGGTTGTGACAACCTGGAGAACCGTTGGCACGCGATATATATTCGTGGTTTATATAATACTTAACCACATAGCATATCTCCAGGCAGGCACGGGGCGACAAAGATTTATCTGCCGTTCGCGCGCTGTCTCGTTTCTCTCTCTCCCTCTCTTCCGGAAGGAGGAGAAGAAGACGGACGTCTCTAAATAGAGATTCGGAGAGACGACGATGACGATGACGACGCGAGGCATCTCGCTAGGGATGGGTTGAGTCTTCGTCTACGGAAAGAAGGAAGAAGACGCGAAAATGTCTCTGCGAGCCAGGGACGAGATGAAGAGAACGGAGCATTATAAGTAGTACGGGCTAATATGAATTACACGGACGCGACCCTCCTTATATAGGGTGGAGAGGGTTCGTGAAAATAACTCCGCGCTTTGTACGCGACAGAACGTCGGCGTCGCGTCTCGTCGAGTCTCCTCGCATGCATCCATCATCCCGGCAACCGGCTATCTTTCCTCGACAACGATATGCCTACACGTGCGAAAAGGAGAAAACGCAACCCTCTTTCCTTCCCGGACGAAATATTCCGCGCGATGAAATTGGCCTTTATCCGGCCGAGAAGTGACACATCGATTAAGTCGAACTCTTTTAGCTTTTAAGTAATTATCTCTCTTCGTCTCTTTCGCCAGAGATATATTAGATTTAGGTAGATCCTCGACATTTACGTCGTGGATGGAATTCTACATTTATACATATAAAATGCGAGTTTGTTTAGATTCGTATGTAATGATAATGATGTCATTAATTTTTCAAACGCACACAATTTGCATTTTATAAGTTTTTAATTTAATGTAAATTTTGCTGGTTTAATAACTTACCTTCTTCTCTCTGTCCACCTTCTCTTCTCACACGTAACGAAACGTATTCATCTCAGCATTCATCTTGCTAATTCTAAAAATTTCATCCTGTAATTAAATATAGCTGATTAGTATCTTACTCTTTTTCGAATTTTAATTATAAAAATGGAGCATGTTGAAGTATACACGTTTATAGTTAATTTTGTATAGAGTCGTATCATTATAGATGGTAATATTTTTAAGCAATTTGAAATATCAAAATATTTGTTAGCATGAAGGTAACCATTTTCAAATATCACGACCTATAGTATATGTATGTATTTACATCTTTTTGTTAGAGAAATGTTTTCTTAAATCTATTGTGAAACTCGTAAACACATTCGGGCAAATTACATTTATATTATATATGTATACAAGTGATCTTATTTAATCGTGTTTTTGTCAACAGGTATATGAAATATTTGTATCATTATGAACAACATAAGGAAAAACTCTCGACCAATGAGCAGCTAAACACAGCAATCGAGACAAATCGTCGAGAAGGACGTCGAAGCAACAACTACCCTGGTTATTCTGGCAATAATGAGAATATGGTTGGACGAAGCCAACATAATTCGCTTCCACCCAATACTTTGCCTTTGCCTATGCCCCTCAACATAAGCCCGCTGGAAATGCACAGATCACAGTCGCCATTCGTCAACGGTCATCCGCAGCAGCAGCAGCAGCAGCATCATCCTCACAACCCACATATTTCGAATCTCAGCAGCTGTGAGTTCCCGTTTTATTCTTACTTTCCTGAGAACGACAATTAACTTCTACAATCAATTCCAAGATACATTCAACTGAAATTTCCAATCGATTGCGCTTGCTCTATCTCGCTAATATGTATGACAAACCATCATCAAAAATAGAATGGAAAACAAGAGAGCGAAAATGAAAAACCGATGGTATATACGAAAGATCGACGGGACAAAATAAAAATTTCAAAAAAATTAAAAAACCGGAAACGGGAGGAGATAGAGTATGGGAGGGTTTATTTTAAATCGGTAGGTAGTACGCTTCGGGCCTCCCCGGAGATGATGATGCGAGAGAGCGAAGGAGGCGTAATTGATTGTACGATCCTCCGGAAGACAGGCGTTAACGGATGACTCTCGCTAACGAGCATTCCTATTTCCCTACCCTTTCCTCTTCTCTCTCTCTCTTTCTCTCTCTCTATCTATCTTTCTTTCCACCTCTTGTGCTCGACAACGATCCGGGGATATATAACGTCGCGCTTCGATCGCTCTTCTCGACGTAGCTCTTCTCCTCTTCGATCGCTTTCTTGTTCAGCAACCTCTTTTTTCACACATCCAACGCTCTTGTTACTCGCCTATGTGCATGACTATGAGACAATTAATATACTATATCATAATGTAAATCCTATATAATCATAAATCATATATATCATAATAAAATTTGTTATTACATTCTAATATAACGCGCGTTTGTAAACAAACTCAAAAAAGTTCGAATACAGGTGACTTTAACGAATATTGACACGCACATCGTCAGAATTCATTTGGTTATTGAATTCTAAGTTACTGACAAAATAGCGGCCTTAAACAAATAAGTTCTCGATCGTTTCATGCTGCTCATACAAATGTCTGATGGAGCGGTGCCAATAAGCGAATTTCAGCGTCGTTGCTTTAATATAGTAGAGACCTGCTGTTACTCTGTCAGTTATAAAAAAAAACTTGTGTTGTTCAATGATTTTTTGCAATATATATATATGTGTAAACTGTCTAGGAATAATACTGAAATTAATACGAGATTACTCTATGACATTCGAGATTCGTCAGAAATATTTATATATTGTACATTAACAATTCACTTAATACCATCACTGTAATATTTGCAACGCTGTAAGAAATAACAATTTTAAATTTAAAAAATAAATAAACTTTACAATAATACACGATAATGCAGTCTCTTTATTTCAAAATAAATTTTTTTCTATATTATTTTAAAACATGCCAATGTTATCTTGAAACAAGTAAGATATATAAATTTAATTATTTTAGTTTTTTATATCTTATTAATAATCCAGAAAAATGTAAGTATCGCGAATTGTTAAAGAAACTAATCTCGATATGTATCTTTATTTTCGAATTTAATTTTCTTAAATTGTAGTTTTATTAAGTGACTTAAAACCTTACATATTTTTTATCTTATAATTTATTGAACACTTGCATTGCATGACATGAAAACTACATAGAAAAATAATCAAAGTGTGTACGTTTTATATTCAATAAATTACGAGATAAAAATATTCAAGATTTTCAGTTGATTCATCTAATAATATATCGTATTTATATAGTTTCAGACTATATGCTGCAGATACTGAGAGATAATAGAAATTCTGGCACCAACTCTATAATTCAACAACAGAGTGATCCGTCACCACTCTCCGCGGAAGCACTTAACGCATTAGAATTGTCCAAACTGTCGCTTTGGAACAATATATGTCAAAATAATAATAAAATCTACGTAAGATCCGGTCAACAACCCTTTTCTCCGCCAACATCTCACTCACCAATAGCACCAGTAAATAGTCCGGAACCACAAAGAGAAGCTCTAGATCTTGCAAATTCTACTCATAGGTATAAACATGCAATACATTACTAGTAATCAACAAGGGGAAAAAGAGAGTATTTCTTTAATAACCAAAAATATTTTCTTATTAGGTCAGATCCGGTATCTCCAAGTGCTAGATCTGTAGATTCGCCACCAGCAATTATGCCCAGAGGCATAAAAAGAAGCCAAGAATCTCTCTCTCCTTCCACCCCGTCTAACAAAAAAATGCTTATTAAGGAAGAACAAAATAATGAAAGGAATAGTATGCGCATTACGCAGATGGTCAGGATACGAGGTGAGTCAAATGACATTAAATGTTGAATATAAAATTGATTACACCTAGACGCATATGATACGATAAATTCATCATGGTACAAATATACATATTATAATGAGTTAAACGTTCGTTCTCCTTTGCTAAAATTTTAATCGTATAGAACTTAAGTCTACAAAATATAAATCTTATCTTAAAAATTAAAATTCTATAAATTTTAAGATATTATTAATTACATATTTTTTTCTTAGAAGATAGCCGAAGAGAACTATTCATTAGCGTAGACATCGATGGTGTACTCTATGAAGGCGTCCTACCAGCCAAAAACGATGATAGCAACAGTCCATCATCGAGTTCAAAACGTTCATGAAATAGCGAGCGCTATATCAAGAATATTTGAAAGAGTACACAACTACTTAATTAAGGTACTTGACTACGTTCTCGCGGTTGATTCGAATTGCGAAACGAATCAGTAATGATAATTTATAAGAAAAAACGTTCCAACGTCGGTGTACCACTAAAATTTCTTTTGAGCGACAAAAAAGAAAATGCACCGACGAAAAATTATTGTTGAATTGTTTATTTGATTTGTATTTATAATAATATTGGGCAACACTTTTCATGAAAAATCTTGATGATTTTTTTTTTTTTATAAACGCATCTAAAAAAACTCGTCAAGATTTTTCATGAATTCATATGAATTCGAAGACTATGTAGTCTTGATGATTTTTCGTGATGATGCGCTTAACTGAAAAATCATCAAAACTCTTCATGAATTCATAAAGTCTTCTATTTTCGAATCTTTTATCTTTTGATCTTTTTTATCTTACTTATTATCTTATCTTTATTTTTTTTATAGTTGATAGTTTTGAGAATGTTATATTTAATGTGATTATTATTCCGCGTTTGGAAAGAATATCTTGAATGCCCGAAAAACGAATTCATTTCCTCTCCGAAATGAATTTTATATAATTCAACAATAATTCTTTTTTATATTGATAAGTTTTTAGAAATAAAATCTTGTAAAAAGCGAGAAAAAATAAACTGTGTAATTATTTGTACATAATTTGATGAAATATCAATTAAATTAATTACACAGACTCCTACTTTTATTTTATAATTATTACTATATGTATATCACGATACGATATATCACAATTGATCCTCTAATCTTTCATTGCAACATTTGATAACGCCAGGAGAGCGATTTTTGTTTTCTGGATTAATAAATAATAATAATAATAAATCATAATATACATACAAATAATAATATCCACACAATACACTTTCTCGCTTCTACATAATAATACAATAATTATAAACAAAAAATAATTTAAATGAATAAATCTATAATGTGATATTAGATATACATATATTTATAAATATAACGATTACATAATAATTGCGCGTGTGCAAATGATTAAGGGGAGGTTTGTGAATAATGTATATATACTTTTCGACATATTTTGTTTTTATACGTAATAAGTAAATACAAAGCGAAAAATGTCCTACGAATGTCTTTAAATTTTTCGTTTTTTTAGTTGCTTGTATCATTATAAAACATCTTTTAGATACTCGTTTTTGTCTGTAGAATAAGATATATTATAAAAAAAATGCGCATATTCTCTTATTCAAATAATACAATTTAAATCATGCATTTCACAATAGTAATAGAATAGCATCGAAGTCTGTGCAATCGAGATATATGATTATGATTACATATCGTACAATACAATCGTTTTTATATTAAATTCAAAATGTATAAATGATTGAAAGATTAAAGCAGGTACAATTTGATATAGTTTTATAAAAATCTAGTAATTTGCATAAATGGTTATTATTGACATTAAATTACATCTCATAAATTCCTATCATTTTAAAATTTATTATGAAAAATATTAAATATTGTAAATATTGTAATTGTTGCACTCGACTATAGCTTTTGTTTCTATTGCCATCTCATTTGTATAATAATTATATAATTGAATAATTATTTATTCGTAAAATAATTTTTTCTTTTCTTTAGAGAATGAACAAAAGAAATTAGCAGTTAAATCAGACATCAATAGTATATTAAACGAAGTGTATTATACGAAGTTCTAGTTCAAACGACATCATAATTTATATTTGTGTAAATAAATCTGATTATGTTAGAAAAAAATAAAAAAGTAGAAAAAAGTAAGAGATTAGGAAAAGACAAAAAAGTATTGTAGAATTGATTAGAGAAATACATTATACATATATGCGATATTAATGCACATGTATACATTTGTATGTATACGCGTATGTACATGTTTGTTTATGTAATAGAGATATAATATTAGATAAGATTATAGATTTAAGTTTTAATTAACGTTACATCAATGACGATGTGTGTGATATCAAAATGTATATCTTAACATATTTCTAATTTTATGATATTATAATCTTAATAAGTTAATTTTTATCACTTTGCGAGATGTAATTAATGCAATTACAAAATTAAACTTTTTTTTTTTGTTAAATTGTGAATTTTACGCGAATAGTAGTCTCCATTATAGTATTATATTAAGTAAGTCAGTGTCAATAATTTAGCAAAATTGGATCCACGTCTAATCTAATATCAACTTTTCTTTCATTCTTTCTTAACCAATTTATTTTTATTATTAGATATGTGTGTACATATATATACTAGCAATTTGTATTCATTAAGTATATTTTAATAATTTTTAATAATATAAATAGAACTTAATTTAAATATTGATTTAGAGAATGTGTGTATAGTAGAATTAATGTATAGTAGAATTAGTGTATAGTAGAATGATAAGTTACCCGCGATAACTTTGATTTTCTATCATCCCTACCGTCATTATCGATATATCAATGTTGTCGACATAAACGAGTATGTTGTCAACTAACGATAATAGAATAAATAGAAACATGGAGAGAAATCAAATTAATAACTCGTATACGTAAATATGCGATTAGATAGTTTTGATGCCTGATGAGAGGCATCAGCTATTCTCATTTTTTTTATAGAAGAATGTAATGTTCTTTTAATTTAATGCCGCCAAAGTTATCGTAGGGTTCTGTATTATACCTCTTATTTTATATTAATACATCCTTATTCTGTATATTTTTTATTCCGCTTACTTTATGTATTTTAAAGTTGATATTAAATTTTTTTAAACAACAACGTATCTTTTAAATATATGTCTCATATTCTCTCGATTAAAAGCACTCAATCAAATATATTTATATAATTGAATGTATCATAAATGAGAAATGAGTTTCAAACACATAATCGGATAATTAAGTTTCAAGAAAGCGATTCACAAAAAGTTAATATATTAAAAAAGTCAATCATATCAACTTATTATATTTATAATGGTGACTTTCCTAGTCTAATTCTCCTTTAGCATAGTAGTTTGGATCTAGTATACTATTTTTTCCCATTTTATCTCACGAACAAGTGAAAAAATATCGATCAGTCTCGTAACTTTAATTGTCTTATCGTTGTAGAACGTAATTTTTAATACTTTGTCTTGAAAGAATATTTTTATGAAAAATTTCAAAAGTAATTTCACCTTGAAATAATATTTGGTAATTACTCCAAAAATTGTGAAATTAACTATATTTAACAATAATTTGTAAGGGACGTACAATAAATAATTAATTTTTTAACTCGATTAACGTATATTTATATTATTACACATTTTAATGTAGAAAATATATAATGGATTTAAAGTTTTCACACAATTATATACATATATATATATATATATATATATATATACACACGTATGTATATTTGTTTTATAAAACACTAAATCCATCATATATTTGCTGTATTCAGCTTTGTGATTGCATGAATATATGTTAATCAACATTTATATATGTCAATGCACAAGTGCATATAAAGAAAAGATATATATGTATATATATAATTATAATATATATGTATGTATATTTATATATTAATATATATAAAATGTATACATATTAATATATTATACATTAATATTATATATTAATATATTATACATATATATATAAGGAAATATAATTTTTTTAATGAACGACACTTAGACTTTATTATTAATATTCAATCATATATCATATTTCAAATAGAAAATTATACAACATTCTTTATATACACATATGTATTGATGCAAAGCTCAACCAATTTTCCTAAACGTGCTTCTGTTATGTGTCAATTTTACATTCTATTATTTTAATTGCTCTTCAGTGTACTTAAATTAGCAACGGATAATTTTCATATTTTATTATTATAGATATATTTGAACTCAGCATAGTTAAAAAAATTGTCCTTAACAGAATGTAAAGTTAATTGATCGATTTTAATACAGTTCGAAAAAAAAAAACTTCATGCTGTTCTGCACTCTCTATTTTGCTAAGCCAGTAGTTGTATTGTGGAGGATCTCTCTCTCTCTCTATATATATATATATATATATCTAGGCTTATAATATCAAGAAACAAAATCACTCTAAATATAAATTTCAAATATTTATTCCTATTCAAAATATGTACTTGCTAAAAGAGAAGAAAACGTAATTACATCTTGTACATAAAAAATATATATATAAATAGATTAATATTGTCTCATTATATATTAATAATATAATTCCTATTGCTAGTAGGTAGTTATTACAATGTAATAACAAATAATAATTATACGAAATAATATTAAAAAGCGAATCTTTATTATTTTTAATAAAACTGAAACATTGTGTAAATGATTTATAAAAAAAGTTAGGGCATTTCGATTATATAAAATATTATTGAAATATCAACGAGATGCTATTGTGTTTATAACAATGGAAAAGGTTTTTATTCGCATTTTTTATATGAAAATATATGATGCACAATGATAAACTGCAAATAAATACTGTAAAGAATATGATAATATGACGTTTCTGATAATAAGGAATTATATTACGATCTATCATGATAAACAATATCATATTTCTCTATCCCAAGGAAAGATCCACGTATATAATCAAATATATATATATATATATATATATATATATATATATATATATGTATGTATATATGTATATATATATGGATTTTTTCCGATTACTATCTTTGATTATAATGGTCATAATAAAAAAGCGCGCAAGAGATTGTTAAGCACACACAACGCAGCGATATACACTACTTTCTAGTTATTATCAATTCTTCAATTATTGCAAAAGACACATTGTATTTATCGGTATATTATTCAAATAGCTATCATAAATATTGTAAATATGCAATATCTAAAATCTCTGGAGAGAAACAAGATGGCACACTGATAATGTTAAACGTATATATAACCTTCATATATAAATAAAAAATTAGTTATTGTATGTAAATGTATGTAAACACACATAATAGCCAATATTATGAATAAAATTAATGTTACGACTTTTATATGTACGATTTTGAATATTAGAATAGATGCATTATACCGTTTTCTTTTTATTAGGAATTTTTTTGTAATTTTAACTGAAAAATTTCTAAATTTCTCTGATTAAAGTATTTTTTAAAAATATACGCACTTATGCGTGCGAAAATAATAAAATAAAGGATTAATTGTTAGCCAAAATCAAATATTGGTAAAATAAAAAAATATATTAAGTATGAAAACTCTCGATTATCGACGATAAACTTTTTTTTTCTTCTGCACTTGCAAAACTATATTGTACAGATAATATAGACAATTCCTTAAGCTGTTTTTTTCCGATATTAAAAACAGAATTCAATAACAGCAATTCCTCAGACAAACATGTATTGAAAACACCTTTGTCATCGGTCTAAAAAAATTATGTTTTATAAATGCTACCGAATTTTAGGCAATATATCTTAGTTAAACTCTTTTTCAAACTCACCCCAATTGTTATAGGATGTCTCATTTCGTATAAATATTTGAATTGATGAGCCACATAGGATGGTACTGTTTTACATTTAATGTTTGAGGTCAAGCATAACTCTAAACAAAGGGAAAAGAAAACCATAAGTACTATTAATATTCATTTAAAAAATTAATAATATAAGAATTATAAATTATATTATGTGATGCACTATCAAAGACATCTTACCAACAGGAATTTTGGATTCCAGTAACATATCAAACAATTGCTTAGAACCTTGCAAATTAGGATGAATGCAAGTGCAATGTCCCAATCGATTGGGCTTAAATTTTAATATATCAACTGTTTCCACTTCATTTGGTACCTATATATATTATTTATGTTATATTGTTATATTTATCAATATACCATATATGTGAAGAGAATAATGTTCAATTAATATTTTCACCTCTGCACAATGAGCTGTGATCTTAAGCCCTGCTTTTCTAGACATTTCTAATAATTCTAAAAAAGAATAGCCCACAGTAGGATCACCACTAAGATCGATACCCACAATATGTTCTGGATATCTCTTCATAAACTGTATCGCAAGGTTAATATTTTCTTTTGCAGATTCGTAACCTTGTTTCCGATTAATTGATATCAACAATTTTACAAGAATTTGTGGAAATTGCAATTTGGACGTTCTGTAAATAATATATAAAATATCAATTTATTAATTTTACTTCCAAGAAAAATAAAAAATATGCCATGCATAGAAATTAAAATTAAATTCTATTATGTGCAATCTTTAGTATTGTATAACTATTGTATTACTCACTCGAAAGCTTTATTATTGCTTCAAGATATTCTGTCTTTGTCATTGAATCCTTTACAGCACGAGGTGTGCTTCTCAATTCTAAATATATTACATTATCCTCATAAAACTCTTTATTACGTCACAAGTAGCTACAAATACAGCCTGTGGTGTAATTGTTAGCGCATGTGCTATGTCAAATACTTTAAAACATCTAAAAAAAAAATTATTTACTTCTATTTACATTTATCACAATTTTCTGTATTAGAATCACTTTACAATATACATAAATAACAATATATGATAAATAACAATAAGAAATATTCATACTCGCTTAGAGATGAGAAACTAGTATTCATAAAAGTTTGATCACATCCAGCAACGTCAGAACCATGCATTTTGTATAATTTTTGTAAAGTATTCATACTTAATGAACCATTTAAATGTGCATGAAGTTCCTAATAAATAACATTAATTAACTTTAATACATTAAAATATATAAAATTATATAGAAAATAGAGTTTTTCTTCTATAATTCAAGCATTGCTTATTGTTAAATATGAAAAGAAAAACGTACCACTTTGGGTAACCTTCGACAGAAATCATGCATATCCATTATAATGAAATGTTTTCCAATACCTTTTCGTATACAATTTTTCAAAGATTTTATATAATTCTGTAAAAAATGAATATTTCCGCTGTATAAAGAATCACTCACGCATTGTTTGCTCGCAATCCGTTGAGCTCGCAGTTTCAATGTTAGTAAACATCACGTGACTAAAAAGAAAGATACCGATTCGTTATTTTGGTCATGTGACTGAAATGTCACAAGTCAGTACGAAAAAGCGCCTCCAGGCATCAGACATATTCGGAACACTACTTTTAGCAGATTGGCTTGGAACAAATATGACAGAAAACACAATAATAGACAGATCGCCAAAGGCCTGCCTAAAGAAGAGACCGCCATCTTCGTGCGATAGACTTTGCCCCTTACCGACACACTTTGCCCCTGGTTCGAGTCCGTGCTAAATTTCGTAGACTTGAACCAAAAGACTTTGCCCCTGGTTCGAGTCCGTGCTAAATTTCGTAGACTCGACCAAAAGACTTTGCCCCTGGTGCAAGTCCAGGCTAAATGTTTGACATTACCAACAGACTTTGCCCCTGGTGCGAATCCAGGCTAATTGATCATGAGACCAATTTGAAAGTTGTGTGTGTGTGTGTGTGTGTGTGAGAGAGAGAGAGAGAGAGAGAGAGAGAGAGAGAGAGAGAGAGAATATTTTACATATGCATATATATATATAAAATTTATTAAATATAAAAAATATATTTTTACACATAAAATGTTTTTTTAAAAAAATACGATTTTAAATTAACACAGTGTTCAAAAATTTTTTAATTAAATTTTTTAATTTAAAAATTACTTGAAATTTTTTACATTAAGAATTTAAAGGCTCCTTATTCTCTTGTAGAAATTTATCACTACGCCAATTAATCACTTATTTGAGTATTTAAAATACTATAATATACAGTAATTTAAGTATTCGAAATAAAAGTAATATTACTCGAAATAAGTGATAAATTGGCGTTACTAGTAAAAAATTTCTATAAGGGTTGAAATAAAGTATAAGAGATAAATAGGCTATATGTGAGCCGTATGCGAAATGTGAGATGTAAGACGCATATTGAAATTTAATTTTTCGATATAACTTTCAAAAATGTACACGAGGTACAAAAAATTAGCTTGGACATTTGTAAGACTTAAAATTGGGATTAATTCTCAATTCTATTAATTAAATTTCGATATAACACACCTTACATCCGCGCACGGCTCACATATAGCCCATTTATTAGTGCAATTTTTAAGTTCCTTATTTTTCAAAGTTCACCTTTTTACGTTATCAAATATTTTTGGTACGTTTTCAAGAATTTTATATTTTTACTTACCGCAGTTTCTTATCCAAATGTAAAATCTTTTATCGCAGTCTATAAAAAATTGAAACAATTTACAATTTTATGATATAATATTATTATTATTACAATTTCTATATATATGCACATCTGTCAAATATCGTGATTTATTTCACATTATTATTATCTATTTTAATAAAAAAAAAAAAAAAAAACACTTGCAACAATCAAAAATAAACCGCCTGCCGCGAACGGAAAATGCCAAGAAAGCACGCAATTTCCGCGAATCTCGTAATTTTTTTGAAAAATCAACAATTTCAACGAAATTGTAAATTCTTCAAATCACTGCACAAGTATAATTCACAATAATAATTTTCAGTAACTACGATAAAAAATCGTATACTGAAAACCGCAAACGAAAGTGCAATGGGAGTAAGAGTAAAGTCTGTGATAAAATTAATTGGCAATAGAAAATTAATAATTTTCAAATAGAAAAATTTTGAAATTACCGAGGATTTACAAATAATAAAGTAAAAATATTAAATAATTTATGTTTTCGAATTTTGCTCGCGGAGAGGATCTTTAAAACAAGATTTTTAGAAGAGAGGACCTTTAAAATATAAACAGGCAAAAACGTTGGAAAAATTAAAGCGCGCGTTTAAACAGATAAACGCAATGAAATAAATACGCAATTGTTTTTACTTATCGCTGTAAGCTCACAAGCTTCTGACGTGCTATACACTTTTATATAATATATACAGGTGTCCGGTAACTAACGGACCAATGATTAAGGGCGGATTCTCTGGCCAATTTGGAGACGATTTTTCCTTAGCAAAAATGTTGAGAAGTCAATAATTTTCGAGTTATAAGCGATTGAAAAAAATAGGTTTTTTGAAAACTAAACGTTTTGGAGTTAAAAGTCTAACATAATTACATTCTTCAGTTAATTTCAGGTAGAGTTTACTATAATAAAATTTTAATTTAAGGCTTAGTTATAAAGATACATAATGACAAAGATTGGAAAGTTGTAAAAAATGATGACCTTTTTCGACATTTTCGCTGAGGAAAAATCGTTCCCAAATTGACCAAAGAATCCATTTGTAATCATTGGTCTGTTAGTTACCGGACACCCTGTATATTGGACACGAGTTTCGTTTGTTTCAGATTCTCGAGAGTTGAAGTAGGAACATACGAGTATCATATATCGTTTGTGACTTGCCGAATGAAAGCAAGACAGAGAGCGAACGAGATGATGAGCTTAATAGCTCATAATGTTATAAATAAATAAATAAAAAATTATAACCTGACCTACTAGTTATTGAATCTTTTTTTAATAAAATGTTTCATTATTATTATCATCTAAGTCTAAGTCGTTTAATTACTTTTTAGTTTTTTAATAATTAATTTAATTTATTCTAGTCATTTTTATATGAGAAAAATAATATCACGTATACGTTTTATAATGAATTAATATATTTCGGGAATCGAATTATATATTCTTAATAATATAAAAGTGTTCAAAAATTATATTTGACTTTTAATTTTAATTATTTTATAGCAAAGAGTTCCGAAATCTCTTACACACATAATGGGGATTTTTTTCATCCATATAATTCGCAATTAAGTATATATGTTAATTATTAATTTTAATAAAATAAAAATTAAAATTAAAGGTCAAATATAATTTTTAAACACAAATATATTAAATTAATTATAAAACGTATACCCATGATAGTATTTTTCTCGTACAAAAATAATTAGAGTAAATTAAATTAATCATAAAAGATTAAAAATTAATTAAAGAATTTAAACTTATATTTTATATAATAATAATAAAACATTTTATTACGTCAAACCGTCGTGAAATAATTAAATAAAATTGCTAGTTACGTCAAAGTCAAGTTTTCTAAGCTTATAAAACATTTTATTAAAAAACAGATTCAATAAATATAAGTACATGTTATATATATACTTATATTTATTGAATCTGTTTTTTTTATAAAATGTTTTATTATTATCATATATAATATAAATTATTTAATTATTTTTTAATTTTTTTATGAGTAATTTAATTTGTTCTAGTTATTTTTGTACGAGAAAAATACTATCACGGGTATACGTTTTATAACGAATTAAATATATTTATGTTCAAAAATTATATTTGACCTTTAATTTTAATTTTGTATTTTATTAAAATTAATAATTAACATATATACTTAATTGCGAATTATATGGATGAACAAAATCCCTATTATGTGTGTAAGAGATTTCGGAACTCTTTGCTAAAATAATTAAAATTAAAAGTCAAATATAATTTTTGAACACTTTTATATTATTAAAAATATATAATTCGACTCTCGAAATATATTAATTCATTATAAAACGTATACGTATTAGTATTTTTCACATATTAAAATGATTAGAATAAATTAAATTAATTATTAAAAAACTAAAAATTAATTAAACGACTTAGACTTAGATGATAATAATAATGAAACATTTATTAAAAAATAATTATAATAGGTCAGGTTAATATTTTATTTATTTATAACATCATAAAATTCTGTCCTTTCCGAAATACGCGAACGCTACGAAAAGATAAATCTCGTACATGCCGCCGGACGAGTTCATGAGCATGAGACGCTCTTATCTTGGGAACGTATTAATAGTTACTGCATTGACCACTACTACGATATGGCGCTGAAATCAGTGAGAAATGCTGGTCTCTCCTTCATCCAGACCTTTGGCGATCTGTCTATTAAGGGTCGGCAGTACACCCAGGCAAACTCCGAATTGATATTGGAGACCTCGTGCGGTGACAACGCGAAACTCCGGTTTCAGTGTTGCCAACGCCGAGAAACCAATTCTCGGGTTTTATGTAGTGGTGTATGTCTGTACACGTACATACACCAACTGCATCGCTCACGCGGACGCACGTAAGAGAGACAAGGACCGATAATCACGTGTTCTCCTTGTTCATCTACCGTGCCGGTATACGCGAGATGCCGCCTGAAAATGCTTTCTGGCCTTCCGTAGCAGAAAGCAGTAACGTAGCAAGACTAATAAGCACCCACTTTTTGGAAATTGTATATATGGTTATGCACATATGTGCATAACGTATATATATAACATATATATATATATATATATATATATATATATATATATATATATATATATATATATATATATAAGGGATATGTTGATTATATTCTTGATTTCTTTTTGATTATTGATGCTATTGTATAATTTGCTCCAAATACTTATAACGTGAAAGAACGTTGAGTAATGTATAATCAATGCAAGGATGTTCAGTATATCATCCAGTATATAAATTAGAGTTCAAATATATCAATATCAATTTTTTTATAATATATATATATATATTAGAATATAGAAAAATGATAAAAAAATATATTTCGGCGATTTAAAAATTTTTTAATATATTGAAAATATTTTTACTACATACACTATATATAAGTGTAAAATAATTCAGAAAATAAATTTAATAAAAATCTACATACCAGCTGTGTGCATGTGTGCAATTGATTTATTACTTGAAATTTATTTACGGAATTATTTTGCATTTATATATTTATAGTATGTGTAGTTGTAAAATGATTAAAATATTTTCAATATCAAATTTTTAAGTTTATCGCCTATATAAAAAATATATTTCTATGATTTTCTATATTCCAATATATTATAAAAAAATTGATATTGATATATTTGAACTCAAGTTTTTTACGTGATTAAATATTCTTGCATTGAGCCATCATACGTTACTCGTAAGTTCTTTCACGTCATAAGTACTTATGTAGCAGAGAGAAAGAAATGAGAGTTATACAATGTAACATCAATAATCTTATATATTATAATCTTATATATTATATATATATAATATTTCATTTATTTATAAAAAACATTTTATAAATAAGTAAAATATTATACAGACAATG